GTACTGTTCCTAAAAGCACCCTTTGTACGAACCCATCTTGGGTTGCCAAGGGAGTAGCCATCAAAGTTGAGTTTAATGACATCTGACTCCGTTGGAATCCATCGTGTGGACCCATGCAGTGCCAAATAGCCCTTAGAAGTAAGGGCCAAAGTTGGGAGGTCCAGTCACATTAAAAGAGGTGGTTGGCTGACTCCTCACACTATAATGCAATAGCTAGCTATGTGCATGCCTCTTATCTGAAGAAGGTCCACAGTTCATGTTTTCTTATGGATTATCAACCAGCAGAAGGCCTAGTTTTGGGGGACCAGGGGTGAACCAGGCTTTGCTTGCCTCTGTCAAAGTTGGTGAGCTTGGTATGAGTTGGTCATAAAAGGATGCCACTGAAAATTGACCTGATTTAGCAGGCTTCCACTCCATTTGATCCCGATCATGTCTGGGAATGAAATGGGAGTTGAGTAGGGATAGGAATGCTTTGAGTTCATGAGCTTCTTGATCTGTGAGGTCCATGCGGAATCTTGGTTCTCAGACTGTGTGCCCCATAGGATGCTGTGAGAGTCTGAGATGCGACAATCTTGGTTTGAGACCACTATTCATGGTTGGGCAGCATGGTTTCTAACTCTATCTTCAATCCACTGGTCTCTCCCAAAGCAGATATTATCCCTTGTTTTTGCTTTAAATCATATGTATACGAAAAAGTGGTTGCACTGATGCAGTGCATATCCAGGCTTCCGACCTTTAGGCAACCAACCGAAGCATCAAGACCATATCTTTTTCAGATTCCTCTTGGACAGTGAATCTCCACCACCACTTTTCCATTAGGGCTGTGTTCATGTCCTTGAGTGGTCTAGTGCCAAGAATTCCATCTCTCTTGGACTTACAGACTCTTTCCCGCTCAGCTAGGTGAGATCTTTTCCTCTTACTGGCTCTTGACAAAGGAAATCCCCCACTATGCACTCTACTCTACTGATGATTGACATCAGCATCTTAAAGAGGGACATTTGAAACCAAAGGATATTGGACAATGTTGCTTTGGTCAGAGTTATACTCCCCATTAGAGCTAGAAAATGTCCGTTCCAAACCCAATTTCCACTTGAACCTCTCCACCATCACCATGCCATCCCAAAGGTATTTTTCGGTTTCCCTATTCATTGGGTTAATCCCAGGTACTTGCTTGGGAGGGTATGAACAATGCAGCCCATTCTCTTTGCCAGTTCAGCCACTATGGGTGAGGTGATCCTCATCCCCCATGAGTTTTGTCTTGGACATATTAATTTCCACTTCAAAAAAAGTAAATACAACCACAAGTTGTCCACCTGCTGCAAGGTAGCGTTGCTAAACAGCAATGTAGAGTTTGCATATTGGAGGTGAGATATTTGAGGGCCCTCCCGCTTGAGGGTTGGAATCCTCGGGCAAAACCATGGGTATACAAATTAGAGATTGAGACACTGAATGCTGCAATGCAATCACAAAAAGGTAAGGAGAAAGAGGATTCTCTTGCAGAAGTCCCCTGGAGACCTGGCATTAGCCATGGGGACTGCCATTTATCTCTAAGGAAGGAGCCGAGGGAATGTACCCAGAGTATCCAAGATCCCCATTTTTGACTGAAACCCATGCTAGACTGGATTTGGTCGAACAGCTCCCCATCAACTTGATCATGGGCTTCTCTCAGTCTAGTTTAAGCACTACATCCAGGCTTTTGTATTGATATCTTGAATGCAAACAGTCATAAGTTATTAGGGCACCATCTAGGATTTGACAATCCCGACGAAGGCCCTTGGTTTAGAGAATTGGTGGAAGAGAGCCACCAGGAAGTGGTCTGGAGTTGCCCCATGTATGAGATTTCCCTTTTAATTTTGACATCTGAAAATGGGCCCTCAAGCCACACTCCATGTTCACCCCAGATCAATTAGAATTGGAGGATGTTCACTCTAGGCCTAGGTCCTAGCTGAGAGAACAAATTTTGAAAGAAAAGGTTGATAACTCTCTGGATTCGGTAATAATTTTGCTAGTTGTGTTGGCTATTCACTTAAAGTTGGCAATTTTGTGAAAGAAAGCAAAGTTTCGTTCTCCCTTACTCGAACGCTTAACCTTGATCGTTGAAACCAGTGAAGGTCCTCCTGTTTGAAGACTTTTCCGAAGTTCATTCTTGAGCTCCTCTCGCCTGTTTCTCTCTCCCTGAGACAGAGATTGTGTTCGCTCGATAAGATCTAGCCCTTAACCTCAAGGGAGATTGTCCTTCACTCAGATGTTAGCAAACTGACGGTAACTCCATTGTTTCAGACAACCCTTTAACATCTGAAGTTTTCCAAGATTCTACAGACCAAGGAGGAGGGCCATCACTGAGTCGTCAGTTGGAGCAGCTCATTCCTGTCAAGCTGGGACAACTCGAATCAGAGTGGTTTACCGATTGACTGACTCTGTGTCTAGCAAGATGGGCGTGTGTCCCGAGGCAGTCTCACGGAGGGTTCTGGAGTGAATCCCAGGGAAACAGTGTTCCCATTTATGGGAAGTTAGGAACCTGTCTATTGTGGTCCTTATAGGGTTCTGAGCTTGGTTCAACCAAGTAAAAGAAGCTCCTGAGAGGAGCAGATTTATAAGCCTGTTCTAGTAGATGAAATCGAAGAACCCAAACACACTCGCTGACCATCTGGTTGCATTGAAGTCATATCCTACGTAACAAGGGGTAGGCAGCATAGCATAAATAAAATCTAATTTAGCCCTGAAATCTTGTTTGAGATTTGGGCAGTTGGGGCCATAGATGTCTTTGAAGTTCCACCGTGGTCTATCAGAGAGACATTTGAGGCTTACTGAAACTGAGTAGGTACCTAACCATGATCTGATTCTGAACAAATAATTGGGTTCCAGATGACCAAATTCCTTTGGGGCCCCTTGGGTTGGGGAGGGCCGACCATTTGCAAAGCATGCCTCCCCAAATGTTGTGGACTTGGGCAAGACTAGGACAGTCAGATTTTGATTTCTAAAACTGGCAGAAGGTCAGGAGTGAAAGATGAAGAAAGTGAAGCACAGCTGATCTTTTATGTGGGTTGCGAGACCCCTAATACTCCATATGGAAATCTTCATTTGGTGGGAGGTTGCGGAAGCAGATATGTTGCATGGAACGACTTTTGGGCAGCTCTTCCTAGGAGCAAGAACTCGGGTGTTGCATCATCCTGGTGGAGCTCCTAGCCTTCTCATAAGAAATGCTGCTTCATAAGCTTATGAACTCATGGGATCCCTTACCTTTCCTCATAGCATTTTTCTTAAACTCCTCAATTAATTCTCCCATAGGTCCTTCGAGTTCGAACCCTATAGCTATCAGGAGGTTGGCGATGTTTCCTTTGGCGTGGGCACGATCGATTGTCACGATTTCCTCTGGGTCGGTGGAGCAAAAGGACTTTGCCTCAAAGTCTGAGGATTTGGTTGTCTGCTGTGTTGTCTCTTGGTCAGGGCCCTTCTAAGATGTGCAAAGGGGGCGTGGCTCCGAAATCTATGCAATGCATGTGAAGGGGGAGAGGGGATTCAGGGGGCAGGGGACTAGAGATAGGGGAGAAAAGAAAATTAGAACTTGCAAGGGGGAGGGAGGGGAGAAGGGCTGAGAGGGGGGGCTGGGAGAGGAGGGGAAAGAGAGACATGAAGACCAAAGGGGTTGGATGTGGACTGAGAGAGGCAGAAGGAAACTCACAGGGGAAAAGAAAGTTGTGAGAAAAGTGGGGGAGAGGGACTGGCAGCAGGATAGGGAGAGAGGAAGAGGCAGAAAATGGGGTAAAGAGAAGAAGAGGTGGGAGATATATGCCGAGATGGTCTCTGTTATAGTGTGTGAGTCATGTGATTTTCCAAGATCGCAGCCGTTCCTGAGGCAACCTGTACAGCTGGGATCAATGCTTATGGGGACCTTCTGTTTGGGCATAAATGGCATCACCCCATCTGCTTCTTCTTGAGGGAGGGGGAGGTGACTGGGCTCATGATGCAGTCAACTTAGTGCCGTTTGATCCATGTGCTTGGTCCATAGGGGAAGTGCGATGGGAGTACTGTATGCCTTTATCTTGGACGGTTGATTGGGATGACGAGGACCTTGATATAGCATCTCCTTTGTTCGATATGATTAGTCAGGGAGGAGAGGAAATGTTAGAGAGAGAGGATTGACTTGCAACATCTCATATGGAGCTAATGCATCTCTTTTCGTTTTCATTCTCAAACTCATTATTAGGGCACCATTTTCAATAACAGAACAAATTATTCAATGTCTGTGACCACTGCCCAGAGCCAGAGCATTTCATTGTATCCTACTTCCAAGTTGTGTTTGGGCCACTGATGGTGTACTTGTATCAGGTTTCTGGTCTTTCGGAGATATTCTCATTTATGAGTTTTTATTATTAAATTCGGTGGTATCTTTTATATGAGAGGAAAATTGTGTTTCAAGGATATGGTTGCTTGATTAGAATAAGAGCATTCAATTTTGCAGATCCATAAGTTGTTTTGATTTCTTGAACATGCTTAACACTAGTGCCTTTATTCATTTCTGTTGTACTTCCTGTCAATTAGTCTTCAGGAAGCACTTTGTGTTTTTACAACACAGAGGGGCATCTGGTTTCTTATGGGTGTATAGTGTAAAAAACCAGAAATGCTTAATGCCCGCATGTAGCGTCTTTAATGTTGACACATGGATAGAAGATGCTAGAACGTATTGATGCTTTCAAATATCACATGTGCGTTTATGTGATTGGTATCACTGTAAATGATGCATTTAATGTTCACAATTGGATTGGGCAAGTAAAAAAGACAGAAAAGAAGAAAAAAAAAGTATCTTGTGACTAGAAATTGGACTCTAGGAAAATATAAAGAGGAAATTGTTATTACTGGTTAACTCTACTGCATTTGATTCGTATAATATGTTGTGTTCATGGCTAAATGGTGTTGTTACTTGTAAAAAGGCCAAAGATTTGAATTGGTTATTCACAGGTTTTGTTGTCTATATCTCGGAACTTTTGCAATATCTGCAGGAAACAAATGGTGTGAGTGATGAGAACTGCGAGAGCAGGCTATACATTGGTAACCTCGACCAAAGAGTAACAGAGTGAGTGCCATTTTGATCTATTTTTTCCACAATCAGTTTTTCAATCTGAAGTAAACTGTTGAATAAAAGGATTTTTTCTGTGGATGACATTGTGCACCTGGTGTTTGTTGCTTTGGTCAGGTGTCAGTTGATAAAGATGTTCTCTCCTTTTGGAAACATTGTCTCGGAAGACTTCTTGTGGCACACTCGTGGCCCCCGGCGTGGAGAGCCACGTGGCTATGCCTTCATCCAGTACAGTTGTAAAGAGGTGAGCCCTTTTCTTACTTCATTTGAATCCTTGTTCATGTGCTACTTATGGTACAAAGTCTCTTTTTTCTGGGTATGTTTGTGGTAATGGTTTTCAAAGGATTGGATATTCTTGAGAATTTCTTTGGAAAGTAGGGATTTGAGAGACCCAAGTATTCCTACCTTTGCTTTGACTCAAGACTTTTTATAAGCTTATTTGTAGTTTTTTTTTCCAACTTAACCTTTGCATTCAATTTCAAATTTTATTTCTCTAAAAAAATTGTTGTAAAAAGTCAAAAATACAAGGGACAAAAAACATAATGTAACTAAAATTCCCGAAAAAAGTCTTACATGCCACTAAAATATGATGTTTTTTTATTGCTTTATTGGTGCTTTCAAATAAATGGCGCAATTTAGGACCATGATGCTCACTCAGGCTCGCTGATTCTTGTATTGGAAAAGTGAGGGTGCAGGATGCTGTGAAGGCCAAGGAGACTATGAACGGGAGACCTGCTTTTGGGCGCCCATTGGTGGTTCGGTTGGCCAGTGAAAAGCTTGTACTGTTTGATTCCACAAAGGCTGTGTCGGGGGTACCCGGAGACTCGAAGCACCCAACTTCCAGTAGCTCTTCTGGCAAAGAGGTTAGCCGGAGCTCTGTAATTATGGCAATAAAGAACAAGCTTCGGTCTTTAGAGGATGAGAAGAAAAATAAAAAGCCGAGACAGACTTTATGACACAATCCCTGGGAAAAGGTGACCAAAATGAAGCCAAGGGATTATGTTGAATGTATGATATGTAGCCATTGTGCAAACACACACACACACTCTCTCTCTCATGATTTTTAGAAAGTTCCAGAAAATTTTAGTTTCTTTTTAGCTCAAAGAACACTGATTATCTCTTGCTGAACTGCAAAATCCTCTCTAATTTGGTAGAGTAATTCAATTACAGAATTTCCCTATCTAGTTGGAACTCAGAGTATTGCTAATTTTTTGTTCCATTTTTTTTAGTTATATTTATTGAAAAGAAACAATAGAGGCAGTAATGGAAGGGTAATTAGACAATTGTTTTTTAAGATGAATGTCCATGTAAATAATTTGAGGCTACTTTTGTATATGCCTTAATTTTGATTTAAATTTTTATTTCCACTTGTATAAATTTGTGTGGTTTCGGTGGGACCATATATGGCATGTTTCTTCTTCCAGAAAAGGGTTTGGTCCTCTCACATGGGCAAATCATTTATTTTCTACCCAAAGGCAAAAAAACCTATTTGGGGTGGGGGGATTAACTTGACTCCAAAAAGTCATCTTTATTCTTGGACTAATATTGATTGTGATTTGTTTGTAGCAAAAATAATAGTCTTATATTGTAAAACCTGAAAACAATAACATCTCGTCGACCACATGATTTTAAATCTAATAGTCAATGATTGTAAGTATTAAAAGTAAATGATCTCGTTGAATACATTTCCTACAAATAAAGTACGTGAACAATGATATTTTGTTAACCCTTGGGTTTCCAAAGTTTGGCTAGCATCTCTCCAACTGTTTCTTTCTTTTGACCTATAGAGTGCCTTGTGACACGCAAATCCAAGTACCTCTATTGATAAGGTGGTATTCCGTAAGCCACAGGCGTGGCTTCTTGATTAATGTTCCAGCTTTTTGTGTTGGAGCACAAATCTGTGTTCTTGATGCTGGATACATTTTTGACCCATGTGATTATATGTACCAGATATTGATAGTGAATCTTTTAATTATGTGACCCAATTGGCATTACCATAACTCTTTGATGCATCGGGACAACCATCATAGTATATCATAATTAGCAGTTCACTTTAAATACCTTAGAACCAAGGTTTAAAAAAGCGGATTGGTGACCCAATTCATCCTCACCCGTACTCGTGTCGGATATGTGGGTCGGATAAGAGAATCAGCTAAATCGATAATATGCTTCAAAAGTTTTTCAAAAAATCACTATAAATCTCTAAAAACAATGTTCTTATAGTTTTTAAAAAAAATTAGGAGTAGTGTATTAGGTATTTTCATTATTTTGTAAAAATAGATGAATACTGTGATGTTGGGTTCCTGGTTGGATTTCGGTATAATTATTAATTATAATACAGTATTATAATATTGTATAAAAATAATTTAAAAATATTAGAAAACACTTATATATTATAAGATTAAATATAATATTTTCCATATAAAGTAAATTAGTATCACATCGGTTGGATAGATGATTTCGGCCTAAAATAATTTTAAAAAAATTGCCAATTTCTTAAAGATCTAGTTTCTTAATTTTTTTAAAAAATATCGGTAATTTACATTATGGTTTTTCATTATTGAACGAATATAATTATATAAAAATATGAAAATATTAACAACTTTATATAATTTAAAATTGCATTTAATTTTTATTGTTGTAGAAAATAAGTTATTATGCTAATAAAAAATTTAAAATAAGTTAATTTTTAATATTTGTAAAATTATAAATATATTAATTTGAAATTACAATCTATATTGAATATGAAAATAACATATACAACTTATTAAATAACATAGCAATTTAATACATCAATAAATAATGAGATGTTTTAATGTATTTATTACAATAAAAATATCAATATAGAAATAAAAGTTTGAATGTATCATAGTAAATAATTTAACAATATTTATATAATTATATTCGTTCAATATAATTTTAATGTGATCATATTCATAGTAGAAAGCCAAACTACATGACATTCGAAATAATTTAGATTGATTTTAAATTTATAATCATATAATAAATAATATTATAAATATTTATAATTATACAACTATAATTATGGGTGCATGTTATTTTGAAAACGCTTGGAGAACTAAAGGATGGAGCAAGTCCCACATCGGGGAAGTTAGGAAGATCAAAGGCTTTATTGGGCTTACATATTGCTTAACAATTGCTACGTGTGCGCTGAGGAAAACTGTTGCAAAAGCATTATTCGGTAGTGGGGTTAGTTTACCAACCAACACTAACGCATAATATTTTCTAACTATCATGATATCGAGCATCACATTACTCTCACCTAAATTCATCATATTAGATGAGAGTTTTTTTAGTTCCTCTATAATTTCCAGGTCAAGACAAATCCACAAATCCAAGCATATCATCAATGTAGATCCATATAATGACAAATAATCAATGTAGATCCATATAATGACAAATAAGTGATTTATAACTTCATCATATGCTCATTTACCTCATTGCTACTTAAGTCACTTAATAATACTTTGTCAAATATCTCATTCACTTACTTGAATATATATTTTATGCATAAAGAGATTTAACTAACTTAGTAATTTTATTTTCTTTCATGGCCTGACATTTAGGTTGTTCTGTATAAATTTCTTCATCTAACTCATCATTGAATAATGCACATTTAATATCTATTTGGTAAGCAATTAGATGTTTAAACTGCGGTAATTACAGGTAGTAGTTACCTAGTAGATATCCTCACAACATGAGCCTTTGCCTACCTTTTGTCTAAATCCTTTTTCCATCAACCTAAACTTAGTAATGGACCATTTGCTTTTAATTTTCTTCTAAATATCAATTTATGTCCAATTGATTTAGAACATGAGAACAAATCAACCATTTTCAAAGGTTTATTAACAAGAATTATTCAATTTCATTATTTATTATGACTTCTCTCCAAAACATAACATCATGAAGCTAAATATTTATTTAATGTAGTGGAATCATCCTCCATAATAAACACTATTGGGATATTTTATAGTACCGTATTTTGGTTATTTTTAGGGGAAATTGCAAAAAACCTTCCAAAATAGACTTTATAAGCAATTTACCCACCACCTAACTTTTCCTAGTAACTTTCCCTCGAAAACCATGTTTCATAATAAATATCCCCTAATACAAAAAGTTCATTTTTTTTACTAAAATACTGTTACATAACAAATCATTTTCGCTGGAAAGGGCAGTCCGGCGTTTGGAAGAGGCGGTCTGGTGATTATTTTCATGGAATGGGCGATCCGATGTTTGATTGTGGCGGTTCGAGGATTATGTTACCGGAGTAATGAGCAGTCTCACGTTTTGAAGTGATGGTCTGGCATTTTGAACGGGCAGTCCGGCATTTTGAAATGGCGGTCCGGCATTTTAAAGGGGCAGTCAGGTGTTTTGAAGTGGCGGTCCAGCATTTTGAAGGGGCAGTCTGGCATTTTGAAGTGGCAGTCCGGCGTTTTGAAGTGGGTAGTCTGGTGTTGTACAAGTGAGGTCTAACATTTCCTTTTCCTTTTATTAGGATCCGAAAATGATTTGTTACGTACAAGAAAGGTATTTTCATTAAAAAACATGAACTTTTTATATTGGGTGGTATTTGCTAGGAAATATGGTTTTTGGGGGAGGTTGCTAGAAAAAGTTACGCTGGGGGTAAATTGCTTAGAAATCTTTGCCAAAAGTATATAATGGATTATTTTTTGCTCTCTTATTTATTGTTGGTTCTACAACCACATCATTTTCATTTACACGCTCATCATAAGTATCATGTTCACTATTTGTTCATAATTTACTTAAATTTTATAGTTTGTTTTCACTAATTGAAATGGAATTTTTATAAAAACACAACATCTAGATTTTCAACAATGGTATTATAACTTGGTTCTAAAAATCCATATGTTTTACTGTTTTGTGCAATAATCCTATAAATGTACATCTACATGTATAGTGTTCTATTTTATTTTTGATTTTCTATCCAGAATTTTTACGTACGCTAAGAATCCCTTTAACGATGTTTTTTTTATTAAACCAAAGTTTATATGGAGTATTTGCTACCTTCTTACAAGGCCTCCTCTTAAAGACAGACAAACCATACCTAATAATAATTGTGTTGCTAAATTATTTTAGAAAAAATTACAAAAAAACCCCAAGATTACACTATTTATGCAACTTACCCCCAACCTAACCTTCTCTCTCAATTTTTTCCCTACAACAAACTTTCTATGCACATAACCCCCCCAACCCAAAAAAATAAAAAAAGACTAAATTACTCTTAAAACTATTGCACACATCTCTCTCTCTCCCGCAATAGAACCTGTGAGACACATCGCTCCAGCAGTAGGCAGTAGTGCTCCGGTAGTTGAAAAGGGCGCTCCGGTAGTAATAAAGCGGGATCCGGCAGTAACAAAGGGCTCTCCGGCAGTAGCGCTCCGACAGGTGCAAAGGGTGCTCCAGCAGTAAAACTTGTGAGACACTATGCTCCGACAGTAGCGCTCCGGCAGTTGCAAAGGGTGCTCTAGCAGTTGCAAAGGGTGCTCTGGCAATAGAACTTGTGAGACACAGCGCTCTGGTAGTAACAAAGGGTACTCCGGTAGTAGCGTTTCGGCAGTTGCAACGGGCGCTATGGTAGTTGCAACAGGCGCTCCGACAGTAGCGCTCCAGCAGTAACGCTCCGGCAGTAGAACTTGTGAGACGTCAAATCTTGCCAAATTGATTTTTTTGTACAAGAAGGGCATTTCCGTCCAAAAAAAGAACCTTTTTACGTGGGGGTTATTTGCATAGAAAGCTTATTGTGGGGGAAAAAGTGAGAGAAAAGGTTTGGATGGGGGTAAGTTACATAAATAGCGTATTTTGGGGGGTTTTTTGTAATTTTTTTATTATTTTATTGAGAAGTATTTTTTAGGGTTTTTTGTAATTTTTTTATTATTTTATTGAGAGGTATAAGGAGTAGTTATTTGGTGAACTGTACCATTTTTTTCACAAAACTAGAAAACTCACTAGATATTTATTCTCCACTAACTTCTTAAAATTTTTAATTTTTCTATCAAGTTGATGATCAATTTGTTTTAAACTTTTCAAAATTTGAAATTCATTATCCACTCACTTCTTAAAATTTTAATTTTTCTATCAAGTTGATTATCAACTTGTTTTAAACCATTCAAAAGCTTCATTGTTATACCTTAACAAATATACATTGTATAGTGAGATAGCTCATCAAGGGAAGTTATGAAATATTAGTTGCCGCCTCTTGTTCAATCTGGGTTGAAGTTATAAATTTGTGCCAAGGAATGGTTATATCTTTTC